AAAAAAAAAAAAGAAAATAAAACACTACTCCAATCTAGAAAAAGAAAAGAAAGCAAAAGAAGATAATAAAGAAAAAAATATCAAAGGCTACGGAGTTACAATAAGTATCAAAGGGTGATCTTTGAGATAGCTTAATGCTCACAGATTTATTCTTGATCATGCAGCAGTAGTTAAGCCATCCAGCTTGTCTAGCCTCAAGCATAATCCATCTAACTGCCTCCAACCACTAGCCTTCCAAGCACCCTTCATACCTGATGTTGTGCTCCAACAACTTATCAGATTGGTCTTCTTTTTTTTTATTACACAAGTTATCTCCAACTGGTTCTTTGAGGAGGGTTGAGCACTGACAATGAACCGCCACTGTCCTATCCACCCGGAAAAATCCTCCTCAGGAGCCCTCTGAATTTGCAAATCAGGAACTGAAAAACTCTGCAGCCTGACTCTATTATCACAAAATTCCAACCACTCTGCTCTAGCCCAGTCCACTACTTGTTTCTCACACACCCTTTCTTGTCTAAACAACCAAGAGTTCCTTGTTTTCCAGAGCCACTAAAGAATATAAGAAGATAAACCGATTCTATCTTTGACGCTTGCAGTTAAAGGATGGCTACATATTTCTCCCCACCACAGATTAAAAGAAGTGTTATTCTCAGTAAAACAGCTCCATTCCACTCCACTCAACTTTCAGACAAGCTTAGCTCTAGCGCAGTTAAAGAGAATGTGATCCAAATCTTCAGCAACACACCCACACTGAGAGGAGCGGTTTTGCTATGAAGCCAACACTGGCTTCATGGTGGATTCAACCTTCTATATACAACAAGTAAACCATATCATATTAATAAAATTATATTAGTGTTGTTTAATTAATCAAAGAATATAGTAGGTTTACTTGTTGTATATAAAAGGTTGACTCCACTATGGAGCCAACTGTTGGCTTCACAGCAAGACCATTGAGAACAGATACAATCCACTGTCATTTTCTTCTTCAGAAGTTGGTCATTTGTACTAAAAGGAAAAGAGAAGTTGAATATACCATTTTTATGCTACCATATAATTAGCTAGTATTACCCAATTGAGTTGCACATTTTTCTTGTGTGCAAATATTTTCACAAGATTGTATATATGCTAATATTTATCTTTAGTCGTGTAAATTCGCCTATTTCTTTTTCCAGATGCAATCAATATCAATATAACATATAATATAGTCCATTCAAGACATGTATGAATTCCAACAATCTCAGACCAAAAAAGAACGTCCTGAATTTACTCTTCCTACTATTACTGTGTAATCTTAAACCCACAAGAAATGAATACTTGGTACAACACATTACCCTAATGATGCCGCCAGAGGCATTTCCAACTCTTCAAACGAAGCACACTCATGCTTCATCTGTTCCTCTTCACACTCATGCTTCATCTGTTCCACTTCAGCACCAAAATCCGCGACATATCCCGACGAAAGCTTCATCATATCAGTAAGAGTTGTCAAGAGCAAAAATATTTCCTTCTTCTGAGGATGCCTCTTATCTTTGACCATGAAAACATGCAAATGGCTCCTTATCTCGATCCAGCTACAACCGGGCTGTTTCACGACACCCCTCTGCCTCATGAGCTTCCGGATTCTCTTCACGTCCCTCCACATACCCACTTCTGCATACATATTTGACAGAAGCACGTAGGGCCCGGAATTCTCCGGGTCGATCTCCAATAGCTTTTCAGCCA